TCTGCTTTTTAACTATCTCCCATTTCATGGTAATTTCTGTTTGGATCTGTTGTTTGATGTTGTCCGTGAATTCTGGACCTTCCAGTCTTACTTGTTCCATCTCGTAGGTACAGCGTCTTCGCCAAAGAGCCCCGAGCATTACCCTGCGACATAACTTGAACATATTATTAGTGAAGTCGTCCAACCCTTCCATGATCCATATTTCGCATAACAGGGCTTTCCAGTCCCACGACCATGAAGTTTGCATTTCTAATTGGTCCCAAATTCTGTCCCACCATCTCCATAGCCAAATAGCACTTGGGCACTGCATGAATATGTGCTCAATCGTCTCGGGCCTTTTCCGGGTCAGGAACGCGTATGTGCACAGCCTGCACTAGGATAGGGCTTTCCCCATTTGCTCCAGACGAGTTTTGTCTATGAGCCAGTCATTTGTTGGAAGGCAACGGTGCTCTATCTGCTATTGCAACGAGGCGAATTTTGGTGGTTTTTCTTTTGCCATTGTGAACCATTTCATTCTTTTCAGGTCTTCCTTACTTACATTCAGTTGCCTCATCCAACGCTCCTCCACCCTGCTTATGACTCACTCGTACTCGTGGTTTCCTCGCCACAAGAACGCAGCTATCTGACGTTGCAAAGGGCGAAGAACGTTCTTGTCTAATGCCCAAATGGCTGATTTATACCACAGGGTGGCCAAAACAACATTGTTGATTGTTAGCGCGCGGCCAAAGAGGGATTTGTGCTTTCCTTGCAATTGAGTCATTTTTTCCAAGGGGGGCTTGGAAATCCATTCGTTATTGAAGAACATGTACGTTCTCCTCGAACTCATCCAGATACAGCGGGACGAAGAAGATAGTAGTCAAGATCTGGTGCCCAGACGGCAGTCCGAGCAACGGTCGCAAACCGAGCAACGGTCGAAGACAGCCGTTACTCCAATGGACCAAAAAAAAAAAAAATTCAAGCTACTCAAAAGAAAAAAATAAATAAAAAAAACATAAAAACAATCGACTCGACCAACGTTCTATATTTGGGGTTACTTCTGTGTGACTCAAAACCCCAAATAGCACCACCCCGACGACACAGTAGCGACTGTGTCTTTAGCGAAATGAGAACGTGGTGTGATGTGAAACGTCCCAAATACCCCAATTCGGCCGAACCAATTTTCGTAGTTTATACGGATTTGCGACCACAGTGTGAGCGTGCCCTAAGCGTTGTGAACAGTGGCCTCCCACATTTTTTCCTGTTCTGGAGGCCGCACCCAGATCCAGTACGTAGTGCCTTCGGCCTACTTGGACTTTGGGCCTCGCCACACCACTCTCGAAATATGAAAAAGGCAAAAATGTGGAGGGTGCATTTGGTCGTGTTCTAGCGGTAAGTTCATTCTCATTTTGCACATTTTGAGACTGGTGGGCACGCTCACACTGGGTACCAAGACCGTAAAACTCCCAGAAAAATGTGCACACGGCTGGTTACACACAATGGTTCCGACCCCAAACACCCCATTCGTAAACCCATTTGTCAGCGGCCTGTCTGGCCGCGGGTTTGAGGAATTTGCCGTAACCTCCAGAGGTTACCGCAAAATCCTTATTCTTTTTTTATTTAATTTTCGTAAATGAATGCAAAGTTGAAAAGGGAACATGTACGTTCTATATTTGAGGTTACTTCAGTGTGACTGGAAACCCCAAACAGGTAGCGACCGTGTCTTTAGCGAAATGGGAACGTGGTGTGAACGCAGTGTGACCTAAAACGTCCCAAATACCCCAATTCGGCTTAACCCATTTTCGCAATTTATACGGATTTGCTACCGTAGTGTCAGCGTGCCCTCACAAGGGGACCAAAAGTCTCAAAATTTTGAGGCATTTGGTTCGGGTGTTTTGAGGCATTTGGTCCCCATGTGGTCACATAGGTGGACTTCGGACGAAGTGGCGACCCTGCCACTTTGCACTCAGGGCAAGTGCACCTGGTCACACAGGGGAGGACCAAACAGAAAGATGAAATTTATTTTGTTTTTTTTTTCACGCCAGTATAACGTGTGGGCCTTAGCTACAACGTAAATGTTTCTGGTCGCACTTTCAGTTGTTTGGCGGACTTTCTTCTTCCTCGACGATTCTCTCCAAAAGTCTCAAAAATTTGAGGCATTTGGTTCGGCTTTTTTTAGGCATTTGGTCGCTGTGTGGTCGCAAGTGCGGACCTCGTCCAGAAACGACGAAGTCACGACCCTAACACTTTGCATTCAGGGCAAGTGCGCCCGGTCACATGGCGGAGGACCAAATGAAAAGATGGATTTTTTATTTTTATTTTTCACACTAGTATAACGCTTGGGCCTTATCTACAACGTAAATGTTCCTGGTCGCACTTTCAGTTGTTTGGCGGGCGGGCTGTCTTCTTCGTCTACGATTCTCTTCAATTCACGAATATAGGGGGGGAAAAAACGAAAGGTAATTTGAGACCACCTCCGGAGGTGGTCTCAAAAAGGGTACGCCCGCAACCCCGCAGGCCGCTAACAGAAGGGTCACCGTTTGAGGCATTTGGGTAGCGAGCCTCTCTAGTGTGACCCCAAAAATGACTCAAAATTTGGGATTTTGGTTCTTTTGGTCCGCGTGTGAGTATGCCCTCAGACTCTCCACGAGCTCTCCAATTCGTGATAGCAGAAGACGACAGGATGACAGCAGTAGAAGACACCGTTGTCGAGCGCATCGCCCCCTCCTTTTCTCACGAAGACGCGGGAACCCTCCCGGTCATATTACGCAGGAGTTAAACAAAAATTATAGAGACAATTCGGGAACGACACAAAATAACCCCACGAATCGTCGAGACGGGCGAGGTCGCGTCGTTCCTTCGCCGCTCTAGCCGGGTGCGCCAGCTGTACATCCCGCGGTCCCCTACGACATGATAGGTTCCTGCGGGGCATATCCCTACCGAGATACCGACCCACATGCGAAAGTTTTTTGATGCAATTGCAGAGGTAGGTCAGTCGAGGTCGTTTGCTCATTCGCTGTAGTATAGATACGCTTGGTTAACGCCAAGCGAACCCGAATGTCGCCCATCCCTTAGGGCGCTGATCTCCTAAGTACGAAGCGGACGCCGGTCGACTAGGACGGTCTCAACCAAGCATGAAACCCAAATATTTATCCCAGTCCCTTAGACACACTGTCTAAAGAAAATTATAACAACCAAACATATAATTACATCAAATGAAATCGACCGTGGTCGATGGGAACATATATCCTATATGAAAAAATAATTGAAAGAATTCAAATCATCATCTCATACATCCAATAACGCAAGATAAAAAACAATCCGGCCGCCTCAGGTCGAACATCACAAAACAATCAAACAACCGCCCCAGATTCTTCCTAGAGAGATAACATATCCACCTCAAGTCAATTTCATTTGTTCTTTTTTCCTCCTAAGTTCAGGATAACTTTGACGAAAAGAAATAGAAAGAGATAGAGAATGAGAATCATTTTGACAAGTGTAGTCAGATGAGGTCATTCAGAATAGGACGGGTCAATCCTAAAAAAAAGACAAAGTCCATATGACCTTATCTGCTTTATTTTAATCGTATTCATTTTACGACACACACAAACCCAAAGTTTTTCAAAACAAACGAATTATTTTAACATGCAGGCAGGTGAGAAGCACAAAAAGACAATATTTTTCCTTTACTCCAATAGGTCAAATCAGTCTCCTTTTCAAGCATTTTTCTACCTACCTGCACTCAAAGCAAACAAACAAGCTCAAAGGAGACCAATGCAAACCCACACCCAAGTCATACATTCTCATTCACATGCAAACATGCATCTCCTTTACCTTTTCAACGAACATTCAATGAACGGGGTCAAGCAAGTGCGGGTTCACACAAGTGTGAAGTTTGAATCATGCAACTGACCTTGAATGAAGTTTGAATCGGCGCACTTAAGAAAGTCGAGTAATATGCTAATCAAAAGAAAATAACCATCGTTGAACATGAAATATACGGCTCACAACTCCACAAGTTGTGACCTTTCTCCTGAGCCACGGTCCACGTCGTCCACCAAGTGCCCAAGTAAGCAAGAGCCGGATCCATTGAGAGAACTCAAGTGGAATAACTCTCCAGGAGAGTAATCCAAAGAATAAGTCCCACGTCTTCTCAACGTCCCGGACAGTCCCAATGCAACCCCGATTGCAGTTCCAACAACACCACATCCTCTAAGGACAGTCTCAATCAACCACAAGTCCACGCCACCTCCAATCACCATGTCCGCTCACAATAGCTACACCAACATGTCGGTCCCGATTTCAAATCAGTCCCAACTAGTCCCATCGCCGCAATACTAGGTGGTTCAGAACTCAAAACCGCTTGCATTGTGCAACGCAAAAAAAAATAAAGGTGACCCTAGTTGAAACTTGAAACCGCATGTGCCGTGAACCCCAAAAAAAACAAAGATGTTCTTTCGGCGCAGACCGCAAGCACGACAACTCCAATAGCCAGTGCCAAGTGCACTTTCTCCGTGATCTCTTCATGCCGCCGGTCCACGCACCACAGTAAAGTCCCAAATATGCACCAATGCCACAAAACATATATATAACGGCAGACCATCACTCGCCACGCCATCAATCGTACCATGGTTGCCCCGCAGCACACCGTCAGATCACACACCAAAAAAATCGGCTCCACTGCGACGCAACGTTTTTCCTCACAACCAAAACCAGACAACCAGACAACATAACCTCAACAAAATAATATTGTTGCTATCGGGCAACACTTCCTACTGAAAATTTGTGTCGCGGCCGCGCTATAGCTTCGGCAGCATAACTGCCCTGCTAGATACATTGTCGTTACCATGCTGCCGAACGGGCAGCACCTCCCCATCGAAAAGTTGTTGCCGCCACGCAAAAAAAATGGAAGCACTTCTCCCTCAAAAAGGTTGCTGCCGAGCCAAGATTTCGGCAGCATAACCCCTAGAAAAATGTCGCGATTACTGCACCGTCGGACGGGCAACATCTCCCCATACGTAGAAAAGTTAACGCTGCGCGGTAAATCCGGCAGCATATCCCCAACGCGTGTCGTTCGCCGCATGGCCTAACCCCCGACGCAGCCTACCGGTCGCGACACCAACGTGAAGGTGGGGCAGTGAGCTCCCAGCCTCGGCTATGGCTGCCTCCCTTCTCCTCTTCCAATTTTTTGCAGACCTCCATTCTCCTCCACCTGGTCGTCGACATGCGCAGCTTTTGCCGGAAGTACTCGTCCGTCGCGTCGTCCCGAAGCAGGAGGTCCTCCCATGTCCCGCCAGTCCGTCGTTTAATCCACCATCGAGGAGTCTGCTGCGGGAAAACGCCAGACGTCAGCGCGACACACAACTGGACGACTGCCTCACACGTCGCCGTGCAATCCGGCGCCTCTGCAACGCTCTGCAACAACGCTCTTCGTTGCCGGAGCCGCATCAGCATGTCGCACGACGAGGACTCCTTGTCGCCCATCGTGTTCACGACGACGGCAGTCACTGCCATCGCCACGGCGTCGATCTCTTCTTCGCGTAGACCGTTTGAGCAGCCGTGACTGTCCATCTCTGCCAATCCTCGCACGGTTTGCCAAGTCACGCCTTCGACAACCGCCTCAGACACGCCCGCCGCGGAACCCTGCCGTCGTAGACAAACAACGCCGGAGCCCAAGATGCCAACGCTGCTGTACAATGGCACAGGAGACGAACACGCGTCCGCTGCTCCACGCTTCTAAAGGACGGTACGCACGCCGGAGGCGAACGTGCGGCTCACACGATCATGCGCACGCTCCTCGCAAGTTGCGTACACTCGAAAGATGGATTCCGCGCGGCGAACAGCAGGGAGGCGCCGTCTTTTTCAGGTCACGCGTCGGCAGGGAGGCGCCGTCTTTTTCACGGCGCACGCGTCCGCGAGAATTCGAATTCAAAATTTTGAAGTTCTGGGGAACCGCGCTTTTCACCGATCCGTCGACTCCCGCCCAAGGCCCACCGCATTCTGTACCACGGACACCGCCTCGGAATGGAGGGACATCGGTGGCGCGGCTGCGTATGCGCGTATGAAAACGGGCCGCGGGGAACGTTTTAGGACGAGTCCTAAAAGATGATTTTTAGGACTGCGTGTAACGACGCCGCACGAAATCCTAAAAAACCTTTAGGACTCGTCCTAAAAATTTTAGGATTCTTTAGTGTCTAACGAGACCCAAAGTAGGGATGGGAATAGCCAGGTCTCAGGTGTAAAGTTGTTTGGTAGCAGTTACAGGAAAGTCAGGTCTCAGACTAGCAGTGATAGAGTGGTTAGTCTGCAAGTTTTGGCATTTCAAGGTCTTTGGGGGAAGGAAGAACCAGTATGATAAGGATTGTTTTTGGCGCCTTGAAAGGTGAAGAGGTCCCCTCCTTCCCAAAAAAAAAAAAAAACCTGCTCAGTCAATCCCCTGTTCCCCAGGGTAATCAATGCTGGCAGGAACTCAACGACAGATTTGATGTAAATGGGACGCTGGACCCGCTTTCCAGCATGTGCTGCTCCCCACGAATAGATGGAGCCGTCCCTGGTGGTAAGAAAAAAAATCCCTTTTTTTTTCTTTTTTCGAACGACGTGGAAGACAACCACATCGAACGGTTGGAAAGGCAGGCAGGACAGAACGGTGCATGTGCACTCCACAACGGTTACACGGCCACTGGAAAACGGCCATGGCTGTCATCGGCGACGGGAGATGGCTAACACCTCGACATGGACGGACACCTGCGCCGATGGTATGCGTCTAGACTACCACGCAATTCTCCCTGTGTCCACCACAGTGTGTTTGTGTCTGTATTTGGCCGATACCGTGGGCCAAATATGGTTGCGACGTTCACAGGGTTTCAATGCGAAGAGAAGGGCTTTACTGCTTGCAGCAGCGGTGACTTGGGATACGAAGAGAAGGCAGGTGGCTGTCGGAATCGAACGCTCGGTGACATCTTTGGTGAACCGGACATTGGCGGGCGAGCGGGCGGAAGATACGCGGAAGCGAGCAGCACACTTGAAAAAATCAAAATGAAAAAACGGGACCGACAGGACCGTTCGGCAGGCCAAAAACAATCCTGAGCACACCCACTACTGAAAAAGGAAAAAAAAAAAAAAAAAAAAAAAAGGGCACTCTCGTCTGACCGCTCCACAAGTAACCGCATTTCCCCATTGTCCCCTTTTGCTATTGATACACCGTGTAAATCTTCGTGTTTTTTTTTTTTTTTTTTTTTTTTTTTCAAAAGCCTAATTCTTTAAGCCCAACCAATTGAATTACCTGTCAAATCTGGACAGGACGGCCTTTCAGGCCTTTTTTATTGTCATTATAGTATTACGGGGAACCCGTAGCAGCCACATCCGTGCTCAAGCCTCCAACGAGGGAACATGCGGGAGCTGCACCCACCAGCAGGTGGGCAATACCGGCCAGGGGTCAGCCGGTAGCATCAGGACGGAGCTTCTTCTATTGGGCAGTCACTGTGCCTCCCCTCCGCACCCCTCCCCCTATGAACATCAGCAGTCTCTGCTCAATGCCACTCGGGGGGACCAACGGCATATCTCTACGTGGCGGGCGCCAAGCTTGCCCAGGAAGGTGCATGAGGCCAATGGGGATTGAACCCAAGACCTCCTGAATGCCACTTGCGTGCCTTACGAACTGAGCTAGGCCGCAATCTTCGTTTTCAACTTTGCTTTTTCAATTTCGAAAATTAATAAAAAAAAGAATAAGGATTTCCTCAAACCCGCGGCCCGGCAGGCCGCTGACAAAAGGGTTCGCGAATGCGGTGTTTGGGGTCGGAACCATTGTGTGTGACCAGCCGTGTGCACAATTTTTTGGGGGTTTTACGGTTTTGTGAGGGTGCCCTTAGTTGGTATACCCACGAACTGTTGAAATACAGGCTCAGGTTCGAATCTCGGAGCAATCAGATGACCAGGACAAGTATTCGGGCACGTTGCATGACGCGGCAGCGCTGGTTCGCACCATTTCGCCCGAGCGGTGGTTGTAGGCTGGCTGGCGCCATAGCTGCCGAGGTCTAGCAGGACTGCAGAGTGGCGAAGTGTGGAACAGGTCAAGAAGATAAAAAGGAAGGCTGTCGGGACTGGCGGTGTTCAAGGAGTGTGAGAAGAGTGTTCAAGCAGCATCCAGCGATTCACACGTGGACAGCGATTGTGGGGTAGTGTGATAGCGTGAGTAGAGAAAGTAGGAGGTAGAGTAGAGTGGTCAGATACTTGAGTGATGTGTCTGCTCCTGACTGGTGTGCCATCCTCTTTGGTAATCTGCTTTCAACTTGGCTCAATCATGCTTGTACTTCTATGAGTATGTTCATTTTGGAAACTTAGTGTTCTTATTGCATATTAGAGCCACTTGTGATCTGAAGACCAGACCTGAAAAGTGTGCTGGGAAGGCGGAGAGGAGGACGAGGGAGTTGATAATGAGATTTGGCGAGATAATCGGAATTTTGTGTCGTTTTTGTGGCTTACGTTTCTTCGTCTGTCAAATTTATCACATGTAAATGTTAATTGAGAGGGGGAGGGGGGGGGTGAAGTTCATCATATCCGCAAGCCACAGCGGTCATTCTTCTTTTTTCCTGTCGGTGTNTCACATGTAAATGTTAATTGAGAGGGGGAGGGGGGGGGTGAAGTTCATCATATCCGCAAGCCACAGCGGTCATTCTTCTTTTTTCCTGTCGGTGTCCTGCTCTTTTCCCCAAATTCGTGATGATCTTTGTGGGATGTCAACATCTAACCTCCTCTGCGTCCCACTGATCTATTGGGATTGCCCCTGCTACTGTTTCTCTCTCTCTGTTTCACATGTAAATGTTAATTGAGAGGGGGAGGGGGGGGGTGAAGTTCATCATATCCGCAAGCCACAGCGGTCATTCTTCTTTTTTCCTGTCGGTNTTTCACATGTAAATGTTAATTGAGAGGGGGAGGGGGGGGGTGAAGTTCATCATATCCGCAAGCCACAGCGGTCATTCTTCTTTTTTCCTGTCGGTTTCCTGCTCTTTTCCCCAAATTCGTGATGATCTTTGTGGGATGTCAACATCTGACCTCCTCTGCGTCCCACTGATCTAGTGGGATTGCCCCTGCTACTGTTTCTCTCTCTCTGTTTCTTTTGTTGTGTGTTTGTTTGTTTGTGTGTGTGTGTGTGTGTGTGTGTGTGTGTGTGTGTGTGTGTGTGTGTGTGTGTGTGTGTGAGAGAGAGAGAGAGAGAGAGAGAGAGAGAGAGAGAGAGAGAGAGAGAGAGAGAGAGTCCGACGCCGCGCCGTTGGGCACTTTGCTGACTACTTGGGATTTAGTAGCGCAGGGCTCTGCGGTAACGCTTGCCAGTGAAACCGTAGAAGAGGAGGAGGAGGAGGAGAGAGGAGAGAGCGGTCATCGTAGCTATCACACTCGTCGTTTGGGAGCGCAATTTATTGGTCTTTTTTTTTTTACGTTCTGCTTTGTAAGCAGTGATTAATCCTCTTCGTACAGAGTGATTAATTCACGGAAAATTTCATCATGGCGTGGGGTGCAATGATAAAGTCAGTGTTGAAAAATCAACGGCTGCTCACAGGCTTATCCAGGACGAGGAGTCGATCACCGGTCCTGTCGACCCTCGCTGGTCGGTTGACACGTGGCAGAAGCTGCAATGGCACCGTCGAGAGTGCAGGAAGGGGATCATCTTGGCTAATTACAGCTGACAGTACGGTGGCCAGAAAGACATCACAGGTGTCCATCTTCCCGGTCCATGAAAGGAATATAAGCTCATCGTCATTTTCATTCATGGGTGTGGGAGGAGGAGTAGAGAAGGAGGTGGGGATAAACAACCCAAACCATAACGAGAAGAAGGAGAATGAGAAGAAGAAGAAACTGGAGCTTCCTGTATTTCCTTACACCCCCCAGAAGTACGCTGGGCCTCGAGCCGCGGAGGTGATGGTTAAGCGGAAGAAGTTCCTGAATCCTGCTCTTTTCCTCTACTACAAGAAGCCGGCAAGTGACCCAAGCTCCTTCCACCCCTCATACACCGCTGCCCTCAACACCACCCCCCCCTCCCCACTCTCTTCCATTCTGAATTCTCCCCTCCTACGTCGTCACGTTTATTCCTCCTACGCCAAACCACCTCCCCTAATCTCTTCCTCTCGTGTTCCTACTTTGTCAAAATTTCTTCTACTCCTCTTCTTCTTCCTCCTCCTCCTCCTCCTGTTTCCCCCTCTCCTCCTCGTCCCCTTCTTTCCTCCTCCTCCCCGTCCTTTTCTTCTTCTTCTTCGTCTTCTTCTTCTTCGTGCTTCTCCTACTCTTCGTTCCCATCCGACCAACTTGCCCGTCATTCCTTGCTCCGTCCTCCATTCCTGATGCGATTCTCTGCTTGGAACGGAAGTCAGACGCGGCGGCATCTGACCGTAATCACGACCAGATTACCTTGGAGGGACACAAAACCAATCCTTTGGTTCAAGCCCTTGGTTAAACGAGGGATTGTGCTTGTGTCTTTCCAAGGTAATCAACTCATACAGATGATTGAGATGGATGGTGTTGTGGTGGCCAGAGAGCAGGGACGAACCAAGACAGTGTAGAACATGTAACCACTGATCAGCTCAAGAGTTCAAATTCTGCAGGCGACAAGACGGGCACACAGCGTGATGGTCACACAGAAGTTGACAGAAGCGAGAAGCAGCAACTGGATGACACTCGTGTCGGAATAAACGGGTAGGGGGGGGGGGCGCATACTCACAATATGACTTTTCAGAATGTATCTCACGGCAATTACGACCAGATGCACTACAAAAGAAATTCGAAATCTACAAATGATCCAACGTATAGACCTGGATCAGACAAACGGTACCATGTAGGGCACACGACCAGGGGTGGCCATACTCGCAATTAGACTTTTCAAAATGCATCTCACGGCAATTACGACCAGATGCACTACAAAAGAAATTCGTAGTCTACAAATGACCCAACGTATAGACCTGGATCGGACAAACGGTACCATGTGAGGCACACGACGAAAGCCAACAAGGAAATGGACCAAACCAGGGCACTCGGTTGGCTCGAGCCGCAGTAGGCTAGCAGTTGGTAGACGGTGGGGTTGGGGGAGGAGAGTGTCGCATTCTAGTTGGGGAGTCCGGTGTATCCGGCTCCAACCAGCCGCTCCAAGGATGGTTATCAGGCAGCCCCTAGGCCTGTGTACCAGGGCTACGAGTAAAGCCCTCCCATTTCACCTCTCTACTCCTTCCCTCTTCCTTCTTGTCTCATCTACCTCCTCTACCTTCCCCCTTCCTCTACCTCCCTCTTCATCTGCACCCCTTTCCGTCCTTCCTCCTGGCCCGCCCATCACCTTCAGCCTTTACCTTACCCTCATCGCAGTCTCCCTTTAGCAAGAGCCCTGTCCTCAGACAATAGTACCAACAGAATAGTTCTTGCTGCAGAACCATGATGTGATCCGGGTCCTTTTGGTCCCGTTAAAAGCAAAGCTGGCTAAAGCCGCCAGTGTTTCGACTGTGTTGATTTGTGGGGTCCCCGGCCCCCTCAGAATTTTTGTCTTGAAATACATTAAAAAAAAGAAAAAAAGGAAATGGAACAGCTAAATCGTTCCAAATGAATAGTACGGGGGGGCATACGTCCAACAAGACTCTCCAGAAGGCATCTCAACGTCCAGATTCAGTAGAAAAAATCCCTCCCCTGAATGGTGCCAAGGGAATGGAACAAGGGACTCCTTTGGCCCCCAAGAAAAACAAACAGAAAGAAAAGGAACAGCTGCATGGGGGAGAAGAGGCTCCTTGGGTCCAATGAAAGAAAAGGAACAGCTGCATGGGGGAGGAGAGGCTCCTTGGGTCCAATGAAAGAAAAGGAACGGCTGCATGGGGGAGGAGAGGATCGTCGGGTCCAATGTGTGTGTATGAGTAAGGGCCTCGAGTAGTGGAACTCGCCGTCCCCCACGATTTTTGGCGGACTGTGGCGCTTCGCCAAATAGCAGTTTCGCAGCAGAAACGGAGCATGGTTCCATTTCCTCGCCACCGCAATCTGATAACTATCCTGGCTGACTCTGCTTTTTATGGCGGATGGCGGGTCAGTGGAACAGTGATGCTGTAATGCCACAGTGGCTCTATGGGACCGGTTCGGGCCCATCAGGGTCGGCCCATGGCCTCACCCGTGGACATTCGAATGTCCTGGACCAGAAGATGGTCCGTCCAACCACTCCCGGGACAAATCGGACACTTGACCCGGGACCAGGCGGCATGATTCCGCACGACGAAATCTCACCCACACTACGAGACAACGCAGGCCATGCGTCAGACCTACGGTGTCAGAGGCGGCTGCCACAAGATCCGAGTCGCGGAGAGGCCACTCCTACCACCCTCCACAGAAGTGTGGGACAATCGGGAGAAACAAGAGGCCTTGGCGAGGGACCGCCGTGCACACTTTTTTGCATTTTCTGACAGACACCATTTCGTGGCGGTTGGCGACGTAGGGGAAGGGTGGTGAGGTCGCCACGTGTGGCGGATGGCGAGTAGTGGAACGAGGCCCTAAAGGTTCCGTCCCTCTATCCACTGCTTTGGTGCAAACCTACCCTCTAGGCTGGGGAGAGCTCCAAGTTGGTTGGTGTTCCCCCCTAAGATACATAGAGTAGCAAGAGGATGACATAGATGAGGAAATATATAAGTAGAGAGAGAAATTGAGAGAATAATATATATTAGAAAGAAAGAAGGAAGCAATGGCCAAACACTTGCGCTTGAAAACGGAAAACTTCGAAAAAAGCGTTTGCATCCAGGACATGTTTTTTGATACTCAGGACACGCCTGTGCCTCGGCGCACGTTTCGACCAGCTATGCTACGGTCATCCTCAGGAGGCTGTCCTCCTAACCTCAGCCTTGCGGCTACCCACCAGCCTTTCCAACACTCTGAGTGTAGAGGGGCCAATATGGCCTTTCCCTCTTAATACTGCGAGCCACTGCGTGTTTCGACTGCCAACAAAGATGGAGGCAAAGGCTGCAGGCATCTGTGACAGAGTGGCGAGGTAGGAGTGTAGAGGTGGAGGAGCAAGTCGAGGGAAACGAGTTTGCAAGACCGAAGTAGTAGTGAGGGAATATGAAGGGTGAAGAACAACCTGTGAAGGGTGAGGTTGTCTCAAAGTCAGTATCTCCACTTGTATCTGAGTCACGGTGGCCTGCAAAGTCGCCACTCGCTGGATGCACGAGGTCGGAGGTGGAGAAGTCGAAGAGGGTACTGTAGTTGGGGGAGGAGTAACGGACTGTAGGGAGCCCTGAGGTGAGAGTAAGGGGATAAGAGGAGGAGGACCATAGTGCCACGACTGGTGCGGAAAGCTGGGAAGCAACACCGAGATGGGTATATGAAATTTTCTGGCAAGGAGGACCATAGTGCCGCATCTACGGTCATGGCCGAAGTGGGAGGGGCGGCAGAGGTCGATGGATGTGCCGCAACAGACGGTATGGTCTGAGCAGCAGCGACACTCACCTCGCAGAGGGGGAGTGTTGGGTCTATCCTGCAAAGGCGGAACCACCACGTCTCCGTGTCTAGAGTCGTGGGGAACCAGACTGGGAATCGGTAGGGGATGGGGTGTGGGAGCGGAGGGGAGAGCGATGAGTAGAACCCTTGATGCGGTGGACTTCAAGGGTGAGCGCATTGAGTTGCTCCTGCATGGGTACAAGCGCGTCAAGTCCCTAGGGGCTGAACTCAGTGCCGCCACCAGAGCGGGCGCCTGAGAGGTGGATGGCACCACATCGATATCCTCAGGTATGCTACCGTCCATGTACAGTGGAGGAAGGGGGGTAGCAAAGTTGGACACTGGGCGCCCAGAGCCGCACCCACCTGCATCCACCCAACCCACAGGGTGATGGGTCGGATTTAGGTCTACATGAGGTGTCTTGGGTGGGTTATGGGCGGGCGTAGCCAACATGCCTTTCTGGGTGACGGGCGGGTGAAGATTTGACCAGGGTCACCGGTGAAGATTTCACCTGGGTCACCCGCTGGGTGGGTGGCAGGCGGGTGATGGCTTGGCATGGGTCACCCGACCCATAGACCCAGCATGACCTGAAAACTATGCAACCTCCTCCCCCCCCCCTCCTTGTGTAGTATTTGAGAGCCCAAGAAAAAAGAATCTGATTCAGTTGACCAGGTCCTGATGAAGTAACGCCGGTGCAAAAGCAGTGCACCGAGTCGCATTGTTGATGTTGTCGTTGTTTTAATAATAGGATTTTAGATGTTTTTGTTGCAATGCTATGTTACCGATGAAATCGTGATGGTGTAAGGGACTGGCATGGGCACGCGCAGGCTGATGCGGGTGGGTGTGGGTGAAGAAAATTTAGGTATTGGACGCGGGCGGGTGATGATACTCTTACGGGTGCGGACGGGGTGTGGGTGAGGGTTTTTTTGGGTCATGGGCGGATTGGGCGTGGGGCTGAAATTTCAAAAAATACTTTGGGTGGGTGGGGTTGTCTAAAAGTAAAAAATAAAATTCTTGGGCCGGGTGGATGGGGGGAAAAAAAAACTAGGCGGGTTGGGTCGAGGGTGAGTAATTTTTTTTTTTGCCCACCTCTAGGGGGTAGACATGGCGGGAGGTGGAGAGAGAGATGGGGAAGGAAGTGGGCTGTTGTATGGAGAAAGAGGCCGACCAGTGAGAGGGAGGTATCATGTGAGCAGAGTGGGTAGTAGCGAGTCGGCTCGCCCCGATGTCGACGGGCCGCGCATGAGATGGTAGCATGGACCCGGTTGAGGGGAGAGGATCTATTGGGATTCAAGATGCCCGACGGAAAGAGCCGGGAAAAGAGGGGTCAGAAGAACCCTAAACCTTAAGAAAACCCTAACTGAAGTTTGGGGGGCTGGGGTAGAGTACCGACGAGCTAATCAAGAAAATAAAATAACAACCATGGAGGGGAGGGGGAAAGAAAAATAAATAAATATTAAATAGTTAAAATTTAAGATAAAAATTAATGAAATTAAATATTAAAAAGAAATAAAAAACAAAAAGAAAAAGTT